TCGCCAACCTTCCCCGTCCACCGGAGTGTGGGCAAGGTCTCTGGCTTAGAGACACGGGGCCAGAGGTTGAGTTGATGCGCAGCGTATCGGACCGCAGACGGCCACTGAAAATGGAGAGCAGCCGCATGGATCATGGAGGTACGAGCAACCTCCATGATCAAGCCAATGCGACGCTCAGCAATCCCATTTTGCTGAGGAGAGGCCGGAAGCGTAAACGACTGGACGATGCCCTCATCTCGACAGAACTCCGCAAGGAGGTCAAAAGAGAACTCATCGCCCCTGTCAGAGTGCAGACGCAAGACTGGGAAGTCCCGGCTGAACCGCTCGCGCAGCTGGCGACGACTAGCACGGATCCAGGGGGTCAAAACACTGCTGACGTCCGCCTTGCGCCGTAAGGGGAAGACAGTGGTGTAACGTGTATAGTCGTCAAAAACCAGCAGGAAGTAGCGCTCCTGGTCCGTTCCACCGACGGGGGCTGGGCCCCAAACGTCCATGTGGAGAGTCTGTAGAGGAGCAGTGGTCGGAGGAAACTCGGAGGAGTGAGGAGCGGCGTGCTGCCGCCCCTCGACGCAGGGAAGGCACGGCGGGGCAGGCGAGCGCGGGAGGGAGGGCAGGGACCTGGGAAGGCCAGAGACAAGGAGACGAGAGTGCATACCGCGGAGACGCGGTAGGGAGGGGTGACCGAGGCGGTGGTGCCAGAGGAGAGTCTGGTGGGAGAGTACCCGACACGAGCAAGACGCTGCAAGCTGACCAGACCCAGACACCTGACTCGACGCAGCCACTTGACCTGCCTCAGCCACCTGTGCAGACGCAGTGGTCAGTGTGTACAGACTAGACCCAGGCCCTCGAGTGAACGTAGCAAGGTGACGGCCAGTCCGGGGGCCACACGCTGCCCTCTAGGAATAAAGGTATCAACCCAGACATCCTGAATGGCAGCGTTGCTCAGAAAGTTCGTCGAGAACGTGGGGAGGTGGAGACCTGATAGAGAACCGGAGGGGACTGCTGGACACGGGAGAACAGTGGAGGCTCGTGCGATTACTGGGCCCCCAGTGGGGTCAGCCAGTGAGACCGGTACCGGTGCAGCAAGTGGTGTGAGTCTGGTGCAGTCACGAAAGAAGCAACGTGACGCGCCTGAGTCAAGTGTGAAAGTGTGCAAGGCATCAGCTGGGAAAGGACTTGTGGCAGGAGACGCACGAGCACCTAAAACTGCAACAGACTCACTAGCACCTAGTGCTGCAGCAGACTCACTAGCACCTAGTGCGGCAGCAGAGTCACTAGCACCTGGTGCAGCAGCCTCGACAGAACCAGTGACACATCGCTGAGGAAACAGCTCACTAAGCACCTGAGGGGAGAGGGTCTCCTGCTGACTCTGGTGCCGCCTCTGTGCAGTACGTAGAAAACCAAAACCTCCACCCCCTGGACAGGCTCGCTGAAGAACCCACTCGCGAAGTTTCTGAGGGGTGGGGTCGTCCGGGAGAGGCAGTGACGGCCGCTGTCCACCTCTACCCGTATGCACATATTCATCTAGAACTCGGATGGTAGGGGAGGTGGAGAAACTGGGACAAGCATCAACGAGCTAACGGCTCCGTCTGGGTTAAACCCGCTCATTTACTTCCAGCAAAATAAGTGACACCCTTCTACATTCACATAGGTACCTACCCAACCCACCCTACACGTTTCTATCCCGTTCTATTCAACACTCGCTCACTCTAGGGGTTTCAACCTCTTTTCTTCCTCATCCATCCACACACTTGGTTTCAGCACCCACTTTTCATTCTTTATCCGACTTCCCACTTGAGGGAGACCCTCATTCGCGCCGCCGCCGCGAGGTCGTAGTGATGTACACTTCCTGATTTGAATATGCTTGGCATGCTGGAATGCAGTGACAATTTGACCTGATGATAGGTCCTTGCACTGGTTGGTTTCTCATGTCATGTTTTATGTACGTACGTATCCAGTGTTCGGCATTGTGGTCCCAGCCCAGAGACATACCAGCATCATTATACATGCTAGTATGGCTTCCAGAATAAGATGGAGCCTCCTTTGTTCTGTTTCTGTTGTGGCATTTCACTATAGAAACACACCTAAACGTCAAACTCGTCACAATGCAAAAACTCACCCCCTCCCATAAGGGTGATATTGACTAGGCCCAGGAAACATTCCACCTCTTTCAACTTGAAAGCCTGGATGTACTGGTGAAGGTGGCGGGGGGGCATACGGACCAGCAGGATATGCACCATAAGCCCCACATACGTACGTCCCTCCCATCGTGTAGTCTGTGGGCGGACCTGGTCCCATTTGAGGGTACCCTCCAGGAAAATTTGGCGGGGCATATCCTTCACTGGGTTCTGCATACTGGAGCCCAGCATTAGGCAAATAAGCGCTAGCACCTGCTGCTCCACTGAAAGGACTATTTGCTTGATATTGGCCTTCCCCGCTGTAACAGTCCCCGTAGCCAGGGTATGGCCTGTAGCCTGCACTTCCCATGTACATTGTGGAATAGGGGACACCATAGCCACCTGCATACGCAGGGCCATAGCCGTAGTCGCCTCTGTAAGCAGGCATGGGGGCATCTCCATAGCTCCCCGGAATCCCGTAGCCTCCCGAGCTGTACTCTACACCATGACGACGACCCCTTACTACACCGAAGCCATCATTTCCTCCAGGAGCATCCATTCTCCTGGGCTCCGCTTTTTTCACCTCAACCTGCAAACGAAGAAATGGTCAGGCAGCGGGTCAATGTAGGAGGTGCGCTGATGGAAAAAAAAAAAAAAAAAAAAAAAAAAAAAAAAAAAAAACGCAAACAAAATCGGGCCGTGACTTACCTGTTTGTTTCCAAGTTGATGCATTTTTCCTTGAGCAAGGACATTTTCAACGGATTGCTCATTGTCAAAAGTGACGAAGCCAAACCCCCGAGATCGACCAGTGTTATGATCCATCATTACTTGGCGATCCACCACATTTCCGAAATTCGAGAAGTACGCGGCAAATTCCTCTGTAAGTAACAGGAAATACATCAGCGATTGGCAATGCAGGTGTTTCAGGGAAAATGGCGGACAGGGAAACACATTCAAGTCACCTTCTGTGGTGCTACCAGCAAGGCCTCCGACGAATATCTTCTTCGTCCTCGGACCACGTCCTGCACTTGCATTTTGTGGAACTGACTTCTTGGCTTCCACCTACACGTAGAGCCGGCAAGAACGAAGTCAGCACGAACGAAATTCGCGAGTTTATGAGACGCCACTATACATCAATGGACAGTCTCTCTTTGCAAACTACCATGATATTGGACGTTGAGGACACCTACCGCTCGGCCGCCAATGACGTGTTGATCCTCCACTACTTTATCACACGCTGAGGGATCCTCAAAAGTGACAAATCCAAATCCACGTGGTCGGCCGGTTACCCGATCCTTCATAACCACCGCATCCACAATGGTTCCATACTGCTTGAAATGCTCGATCAAGTCCTCTGCATATCAAGGAAGGGAAAAGCTTGACGATTCGCGGGCATGTGAAGGACAGGACTACCTTGAAGGACGAAAGCTTGACTCGAGTGGTGGGATAAGAATAAGAGAACAGGATATCTCTGCGCACCTGTTTTCGTTTCCCATGAAATGCCTCCTATAAATATCTTTCCTCTGCATTGCAACATTGCACGCTGATCAGAAAATTGGTCCCGATGAGAGGTTACATTCTCTGATGAGGTACATTTTCGAAATTAAGTTAAATTCTGGAAGAACTAACCCTGATCGGGAAGACGGAGCGGGTTGCTGAGAATCGGTAGCGTGCGAATCTGCTGTAACCCTCTTCTGGTGAGACTCTTTGTCCTGTGGATGGTTAGATTCCTCTGGAACAGCAGCGTCCGGATTAGCAGACGCTTCCATTTTTCCTACTGCCATCAACGCCAGCACCGCCTATGCGGCTGGATGGCCCTCTGACATATAAAGTATAGGAAGCGCTCTGTGGAACTAATAAGCTAGTTTCGGCTAGTTTCGGGATTGCACTTTCAACAGAGAAAAGGCGATCCTGTGCAGTCAGCTCAAGTGTGCCAAGCAGCATCAGGTAAGCTTGCCTGGCGTTCATATCCCCGTGAAATACTCGAAGGGCACAATCGTGCTGCTCGTGTCTTCTGACGAGGTTTGTCTGGAAAGACCAATTTCTGGCTTTCCGAAGCGGCCATTTCATTCTTCCACAGTTTGCCGAGGCACGGGCACCCGTGCTTAGAAAGCTGGTTTGGCTGCTTCCGTGGCACGTGAACTCTACAGCCAGACCAAATACATCGCTATCGGATTGGTTGCCTGACTTGGGAAGCCTGGTTTGAGGCCTAAACAGTGTGCCAGACCCAACCACGTTCGAGAACAAGCTTTGTGGACCAAGCGCGGCTGCCCGGCGAATGGCTAGGGGGCCACAAATCCCCGCAGCGACCACTTCGCTTAGCTAATCAGCGAACTTCCCGCGTAACACCCTTGAGCATTTCGTAAGGCCTGTGGTGTGCTTCAGCACCCCTTTACGCGTGGAGGGAGAAAAGGACCAATGTGAAAGCAGTGAGAGCATCCTCGCTTGAGGCCCGTGTTGGAGGGAAATTCACTTTTCCCTGACAAACCGATCTCCTGGCGTAGCGCTCAGTTGTGATTGGCGAATGACACGTTTTCGCCTCGCATTGTTTGGATATAAGAACAATTTGCCCGAACGACTTTCTGCCCATCAATCGGCGGAAACGTTGAAATGTGCAATAGTGGAAGGTGTACACCCGTGTGAGAATAAACATCACGCATTATTTTCTACTCATGGCAACCCAATTTTCCTGACGGAACCGTGGTATGTCTTTAGCGAATTTCTTCCAACAAGAACCGCAGCACATCGCATTCTAGAATCAGCATATCGCACGCATTCAGGTATCGACCCAATGCAACTGTTGCGGATTTGACTCGCCACGCATTTCGCGCAGCGGGATTTTCACGGACGCTTATCCACCGCTCCCCACGCACGTCCGCATGAATGGCTTCTCCGCGCGTATACTTCGCCGCCTCATCTCCGCGCAGCTTCGCGCCAACCACCCCCACTAGCCAGCTTCTAGGGGACTCCTCCATAGCCCAAGGATCAGGCGGTGGCAGTTCGGTAGGGTTAGAGGAGCTTCAAGATGCGTACTTGTCAGAGCTGCTCTCCTACAGCCTGGATCGATTAAACAAGGTGCGACAGAGATTGAGGTTGTAAGGCAGAAGAACTTCGGACGATCATGGGTAGTCATGGTTCTTGAAAGATTCGGGAAAAGCGACGAAGAGATATCTTTGAACTTTCGGTCCGGATACATGTATGATTGACGCTTCTCTCATGTGAGGCCAGACCAATCAGGAACACTGATTCTGCGATTCTTGCCGCTGCTCGGTCTATTGCCACCTATCCGGACTATCTTTTACTCACGTCGTCCTTTCCCCGGTCCCTAACGCTTTGCTTGCTCAAGGAGCCGGAGCTGCTGCGCGCCGATGCGGAGAGGGTGCAGCGGCAGATGCAGGAGGTGGCGGTGGCGCATTACCGCGCGTTCATCACCGCTGCTGACGCCATCCGGTCCATCCACCGGGAGATCAACTCCGTCGACCAACACCTGGGGTCTCTGGTGAGAGGCGACCAACACCTGGGGTCTCTGGTGAGAGGAGATAGTCTGACATTGCATCATGTATAGTTGTTCCAATATTACAGAATGTAATTTGTACAGAATATTACAGTTATTGCGTTGTTGTGAGTATGGATAAATGTTCAGTCTGACAATGAGCTACTACTCTGTATTACAGCGTGTTCGACCATCCACAGAACATGTCACGAAGTCACAGTCAAGAGAGTCCACATGTTGATCATCACATCATAACCTTCATCCTCGTGCCTGACACTGCATCGCTTTCGTCAACTCGTCTGGGATTGTATCATGTCAAAACAAAGCGCATCTGATCTGACAAAAAGTGCCTGCTTAAATAATTTGATCATATTTTATCAAACCCTTTTTCACCCGAATCTGGCATCAGGTGTTGGAGATCCCTAAGCTCACCACTGGGTGCAATGAGTTTCTGGAGGAGGCCCAGGGGGTGATGGAAAAGAGGCGGCTGAACAAGACAATGCTTGCCACCCACCCCACGCTCATGGACCTTCTAGAGATCCCACAGCTCATGGACACGTGAGTGCTGTGGCGCATGGCCACGTGGGTGCTATCTCATGACCACATGTTCTGCCTGAGCGGAATTTCCAACACATGCTGCTATTTCCACAGAGCCGTTGCTTCCGTCCTCGAATGCCTCCTTTGACACTGCGGATGAGACTAATGACCGAAGCATGGACGTGACAAGCCATGAGGCGGGAATGATTGCATTTCCCCTCTCTCTTCTCCTCTTTCCACCTCTGCTCCTCTTCTCGCCTCTGATCATCCTTCCCCGTGCAGCTGTGTGCGCAACGGCAACTACGATGAGGCCTTGGACCTGGAGGCGTTTGTAGCTAAGCTCGCCACCATGCATGCTAAGTGCGTTGAGTGGGTGGGGGAAGAGACAAGTGTGCGAGGGAAAGGGGGAGTCAAGTGCATGGGGGGTATGTGTGGGGGGAGATGTGAATCAAATGCGTATGGGGGGGGGGGGGGAGATAGTGAGAGTCAAATGCGTGGGTGGCGGAAAGAGATCTTTGAAATCGACTCAGTATTCGTTTTTACAAGATTACATGCACCTGCCACCACCCTCCCATCCACGCACATCCCATCCGTCATGCATCGCCGGCAGCACCCCTCCCAACCCCGCCACCCTGTACGTGAATCAGCGGTTGGCAGTTGAAATGATCCACTCTATCCAGACCATGCTGTCCCTCCGCTCCTCCCCTCTTTTCCTCCCCTCACCGCCGCACCCACCCCCATCAACCCGCTTATCACCCCACTGTACACCCCCCCCCCCCCCCCCCCCCCCCCCTACCAGACTGCCTGTGATCCAGCAGCTGGCAGTGGAAGTGAGGCACACCACGCAGGCCATGCTGTCACAGCTGCTGCTGCGGCTGCGATCCAACATCCAGGTGAGAGAGCGGCATAACGTTCGAGTGAGGGAGCAGCATGGCATTTTGAGTGAGAGAACAGCGTGACATATAAGGAGAAAAGCAGCATTAGCAGAGGCCTGGGAATGAATCTGGTAGTCTTCTTTCTACTCCAGCGTATTTTTCTACCAAGGTGTGTGATGCAGCTCGCAGTCTGTCATCCCGAGACTCGTTTATTTAGAATCCCCCCCTTTGTCCTCTTCCCTTTGGCCGCTTCTCTGAAGCCAACTTTCTATCTGTCTGTCATCCCAATCGTCCCTCTTCCTCTGACTGACTAACCTCTGACTGACTACCTCTGACTGACTACCTCTGACTGACTACCTCTGACTGACTACCTCTGACTGACGAACCTCTGACTGACTACCTCTGACTGACTAACCTCTGATATTTCCTGATTTCCCCGTGTCTCGCACCACCCACTCCTTGCAGCTGCCCGAGTGTCTGCGTGTGATTGGCTATCTCCGGCGACTGGCGGTGTTTTCAGAAACAGAAATGCGGCTCCAGGTGAATAGCGATCTTGAGAAGCAATCGTTTGTGTGTTCCACAACAAGTCTGTGCAATACCACATATAAGCTGTATGTGACACACCCATATGCTCGTCATTCATACCACTCTGATGCCCCTTACTCCTGATGGTCCATTTCTCCTTTACCCTCAACTTCTTATGGTTTACCCCCACCTGACCCCCTCCCCCCTCCCCCCTCCTCCCCTCCCTCCACTCAGTTCCTGCGGTGCAGGGAGGCGTGGCTGGGGGAGGTGGTATCTGAGCTGGACCCGTCATCCCCCTACGACTATCTGAAGCGCCTCACCGACTGCCACCGCGTGCACCTCTTTGACGTCGCCACGCAGTACCATGCCATCTTCGCCCACCACTCCTCCAATTCCCCAGATTCATCGAACCTGGACGAGGATTCGGCCGCGCTCGCGGCTCTGCTAGGGGACGGGGGAGTGGGGGGAGGAGCCGGGGGAGGGGCCGGGGGGGTTTTGGGGAAGTATGGGAAGGGCAGGGCGGGAGGTGGGGCGGTTTTGAATGGGTGGGGGGGTGGGGGATCGGGTGGGGATGGGGGGCTGGTGTATGGATGGGCTATGCATCGGGTGGCTGTGTATTTAGCAGCGCTGGCGCAGCATCTGCCGAGGATCGAGGATGGGGGGTCGCTGGCGAGCGTGCTGGAACACTGCATGGTGAGATGGGCGGCATGGTGAGATGGGTGGCATGGTGAGATGGGCGGCATGGTGAGATGGGCGGCATGGTGAGATGGGTGGCATGGTGAGACACTGCGATGGGGGGTTGGTGTATGGGTGGGCAATGCATCGGGTGGCTGTGTATTTAGCAGCGCTGGCGCAGCATCTGCCGAGAATCGAGGATGGGGGGTCGCTGGCGAGCGTGCTGGAACACTGCATGGTGAGACGGGGATATGAGACGGGGTGTGGAGGGTAAAGTGATTGCAAAATGAGTGCTTTTACCAAAGAATTCATTGCTTTTCTCCATTTGCTCCCCTCTCCTTGCACTTCTCCCTCCCTGCTGATGCCTTATCCCCTCCCCACTCCCTGCTTATACCTTGTTCCAGCCTTCCACCCCGCCATGCTTTATATCCCTCCTTCACCCTGTGTGTGTCTTGCCTTCTCTACCTACCTGGTAATGCCTTATCTCCGTCCCACCTCTCGCCCCTGTGTTCCCAACCCCTGCACTCCCTGGCAGTACTGTGGCATGAGTCTTGGCCGAGTGGGGCTGGATCTCAGAGGCCTCCTGCCACCCCTCTTTGAATCGTGAGCTGCTCCTGCTTCTACTCTTGCAGCTACTCGTGTACTCGTGATGCCGCACAGTTGATTCTATCATGGCTCCTTATCTTGCTGTTGACTCTCCTGTTGAGGTCCCGCTTCCTCATCATCTTATTCATCACTCTCTCCATTCGCACCACCCTCATTACCCTCTCATCCGTCTCTCGTCATTCTTTCATCCATCCCTCTCAGGTGTGTGCTGGGGATGTTCCAGCGCAACATCTCCTTTGCTGTCGACTCTTTCCATGTGAGCCGCCTGCGATGAGCCATGTGCCTCTGTCATCCATGGCCCACAGTCAACCGTCAGTCAACTGTGATATCAACCATCATCCATCTCAACCATCATCCATCTCAACCATCAGTCATTAATCATTGCCCATCGCCCATCACCTGTCATCCATCGCCCATCGCACCCATCACCATTAATTTTGATTGTGTGCATCACTACTCCTGCCCCCTCCCTGCTCCAGCATGCATTGTTGCTTGCGAACAGGTGGGCATGTCACTGCCATTTTTTTGCAATGCTTGTAAGTACCCAATTTTAAAATCGTTGATATCCTCCCAACCCTCTTCTTTCCCATTCCCCCACCTTCCCTCTCATCCTCCCCCTCCCAGCATGTGTTGGAGACACACAGATGGGTACCTCTCCCCTCCATGGGCTCTGCTGCTCGCATGGGCCTGGGAGGCGAATCCCTCAATGACGTGGCGCCACCGTATTCGCTCATGGAGCACCCGCCACTGGCCGCCTTCGTGAATGGTGCGTGCTGGGGGGGTGGTGAGCCGCGCTGATGTGGCACAGGGGGGGATGAATCTGTGCTGATGTTGCACAGAGGGGGATGGTTTTGTGCTGATGTGGATCAGGGATGGTGATTGTTCTTTGGTTATCTCAGGTGGAATATTGAGATGAGATGGCATTGGTGGTCAGGGGGGTGGCATGGCCGCTGAGTTACTAGCATTGGCGGCCACATTTGCGCACCACCAGCACTCAATGAATCGTGGCAGGCACTCTGCCTCACCGTCTTACAAATGCCAACTCCCATCCTGACCCCATGCCCCGTTCCGTGTTGCCTCCCCCTCTTCCCCGGTCTCTCCCCTCCTCCCGGTCTTCTTCCTCTCAGGTATACTGTAGCACTCAACGATTTGAGTCACTGTGCGCCGACGGCCCTGAATGTGCAGCTGGCAGGGGAGGTGGAGAGGGCGCTGGCAGTGGTGGCGGGGTCACTGGGGCGCTACAGTTTAAGAGGATCTCAGAGGTGCCTCAAACCTCCACTCCTCCCCACCTCCCTTCCCTTCCCCTTCTCTCCCCTCCCCCCTTCCCGCTCAGGCATACTGGCAGCACTGAACGAGTTAAGGCACTGTGCGCCAACATCCCTGAAGCAGCAGCTGGCAGGGGAGGTGGAGAGGGCGCTGGCTGTGGTGGCGGGGTCGCTGGGTCGCTACAGTCACACGCACATAATCAAGGACTCCGAGGCTGCTCTCTTTATTAGCACGTGCAAGGCGTTTGTAGAGGTGAGTGAGAGTGTGCTTCTATATGCCACGGCGCTAACACTGGTGGTGGCGGGGTTGAAGGTTCGCGACACCCATACACACATAGTCAAGGGCTCTGAGGCAGCGCTCTTTATTAGCACATGCAGGGCGTTCGTGGAGGTGAGTGTGGGAGCATGCTTGTAGGTATGAGGGCGCTGGCAGTGTTAGCGGGGTTGCAGGGTTACAGTCACACGCACATAGTCAAGGACTCCGAGGCAGCTCTCTTTACTAGCACAGCAGGGCGTTCGTGGTGGTGATTGTGAGAGTGTGCCTGTTGGGGTTTGTGTAAGAGTATGTGTTGACGCTTCCGTGTGAGAGTATGTGTTGACGCTTCCGTGTGAGAGTATGTGTTGACGCTTCCGTGTGAGAGTATGTGTTGACGCTTCCGTGTGAGAGTATGTGTTGACGCTTCCGTGTGAGAGTATGTGTTGACGCTTCCGTGTGAGAGTATGTGTTGACGCTTCCGTGTGAGAGTATGTGTTGACGCTTCCGTGTGAGAGTATGTGTTGACGCTTCCGTGTGAGAGTATGTGTTGACGCTTCCGTGTGAGAGTATGTGTTGACGCTTCCGTGTGAGAGTGCGTTCATGGAGGCCTGTGCAAACCTGGATTGTGCAAACCTGGATTGTGCAAACCTGGATTGTGCAAATCTGGATTGTGCACCTGGTGGTTCTCTCTCAGGTAATCTGGCCGCACCGGTTTTGCCAATAAAACCGAAACACTTTGCACGCTCATCAAGTCTCTGCTCGTCTCTGCATGCACTCACCTTTACCCCCCCTCCCCCTTTATCCCACCCGCACCTCCCACCACTTGCCCCCCTTTTTTCGCACCCGCCCCTCCCGCCACCCCCCCTTTCTCCCTCTTTCCTTTCTCTATCTCCTCCTTTCTCCCACCCCTTCCATGCAGGTGGTGTGCCCCTACGTGGCTGTGTGCTTCTCCCGCTGCTACGGCTCCCCTGCCACTCTCGTATCCACGCAAGCAGCGTGCGAACCCGTGAAGCAACTCATTCTCGCCTCCATGCCCCCTGCTGCCGCTGCCGATGCTGATGCTGATGCCGGTGCTGCTGGGGTGGGTGAGGGGCAGGAGGGGGAGGAGGCAGGAGAGGGAAGGAGAGGAGATGGGGAGGCTGGGGAAGGAGAGGGGGGTCAAGGGGAGGAGCAGGTGGGTGTTTCTGTGAGGGATGGTAGTGGAGGTGAAAATGTTATCACCGATGGTGATATGGCGCCTGGTGGCCAATCAGTAGCAGGAGGGGGAAGTAGAGGAGAGGGGGGAGCGGCAGGAGGTGAAGGGACATCCGTGCAAGGGTTGAAACCAGCCGCACCTGTAGGTGTAGGAGCAGATCAGATGAGATGAGGGACGAGTGCAGCTAGACTGGGTCAGCAGGTCGTGGCAGAAGCGGAGTTTGTGGGACTAACTGAACCAGGGAAACACGTGGAGGTCAACAACTGGGAGGCATCGTAATGAGACATGTCAAGATGTTTCAGTGTTCACACAGTCTAGTTGCCATGCAGGAATGGAAGTGGCACAAACAATTTTTGCATTACAAAGTGGGTCTGATTTATACTAGTTCCTTCCATATTCTGTTGGTTGTATGTGATATTGCTGTACTCTTGTAATTATGGATTCAATTGACCGCCTCGGTGTTCGAGCCTGTGTAAGGAATTTTCTCGCTATTCCTTACCGCGACCGTCCACATCGCGTACAGCAGCAGCCGTTGTTCGCCCGTTACTGCTAAAGAGGCTTCGCCAATTTCGCGCGCACTGTTTCACCAAACCTCGCACTGCTGGAGCAGCCGAGTCGGCCTACGCTTCGGGACTAGCTCAAACCTCGCGCCAGCGTAGCACTAGCTAGCTCGCACACACCGCGTTACCGTTTGCACATTTTCGCGTATACCGTAAGTATTCGCTCATGCCTTCGCTCATATTTTGTACTCGTTGAACATTCTAGTGCAATCCTCGCTACCTCAATTCATTGCACCCGAACACTTGGTTATCATAGCCACTTTCTTTCGGACCACGCATCTCCGCACCCTAGGAAACCAACTTTTGATTTTTCACTCGAAGGGACTCACGCCCCTTAGCACCTAGGAGCCGCTGTCCTCGCGCTCTCTCGTAAACGCGTGCAGCCACGACTGCGCCTAGACTAAGCTGAGCCGATGCCCTTCGTTATGGCTGAACATATCGACGTCACGACGCTCACGCAGGACCGTTTGAATGAGCTGCTGCGACAACTCCACGAAAGCTCTGAAGAAATCGCGGCACTGACGGCCGAACGCACGTCCCTACAAAATGACGTCGCAGGAGCACAGCAAGCACAATCACAAGCACCTGGCACTCCGGGACAACCTGCACCATAGGCATCGCAGCAGGGAAGTGTGGGGCAACCCGCGAGCGCGGCCAGTGATGGCGTCGTCCGCCACGACGGAGACGACGACCACGGCACGACACACCCTGAAGCGACGAATGCGGCCAGGAGCCAGCCTCGCGTCACGATTTCGGCACCGACCAATGATTCGGCATTGCCGTCACCGATGCCGCTGAAGCCGCAGCGTCCGCCATGCTTTGACCCGGGTCAACGGGGTGGTCCTACCATTAAGGCGTGGTTGTTCACGTTGAACGTATTTTTTTACGCCAACTACGTCTCGGAGGATACTGCGAAGATTCGCTACGCCGTGTCGCTGCTGCGAGGACCCGCCATGGACTGGTGGCGCGTCATCGTCACGAAGCCGACGGACTACGCGACTCTACCGACACGGGAAGGACAAACCGGACCCTGGGCGCTATTGTATTTCGTAGAGGCGCCCCAATATCGCACGTGAGACGAGTGGTGCGCAGGTCTGCACGCTCAATTTGATCCAATTGCGGCTCCGCACTTGGCGCCAACTCGGTTCCGTCCAAGACTACACTATCGGGTTCCTAGCGCTGTGTGAGCAAGCGGGATACATGGACAAAAGCGAGCGCATCGACCGCTACATCGGCGGCCTGAAGCATGATATAGCCCAAGAAATTCAGCTCCGCGGCGTCACCGACTTCCAGGAAATTCTCGCCATGGCGGAGAAGCTCGACTTCTTTCGCCGACCGAGGCCGGGGTCCTACGGAAGCAACAGCAACTAGGGACATCGATCTCGTGGGACGAACGAGGGCGCCACGATACGTGCCGTCGCCGCGAATGCCGTTGTCGCACCGTTCAAAGGGCGCTGCTTTGCGTGCAAACGACCGGGACACCGCAAGAGCGAATGCCCGGAAAACGCTAAGGGAAAGGGGGAAGCTGAGCAGCAGAAACAGACCAAGCAACAGGGAAACGCTGGGAGTCAGTAGCAGACAGGTCATCTACTGACAGGTGACGCCGCTCGCCCGACCCAACCGACCCTCACCGAGTGATTGTGCCGGTTCACGCAATCGACCACACCCGACCGAATAAGGAGGGTACTACGGTAGACAGCCCCATACTGCTTAGCGGGAAAATTGGGGCAGACGTACTTAAAATATTCGTAGACGGGGGAGCCAACCACAGCCTGATCAACACCGCCACGACACAAAAACTGAGACTTCCACTGGACAGATGTTTACCTGAGATCGACGCAAGACTGGTTGACGGCATGCCACTGGCAATACGGGAACGCGTAGACCAGGTTCGGATTCGATGCGGGGGTAACTTCACGTTTAGCCAGGACATGCTCGCAATAACCCTCGACGGAACCGACATTTTACTCGACCGTGATTGGCTGCGACGACACAATCCGCGAATCGACTGGACGACGGGTGACTGCACCGTGCGAGCGAACGGTAACAACATCGCGTTACCTCGCTAGGGCTCGCCGGAGTCTTCGTCGGTGCGTGTCAACACAATCACGATGAAACGCGCCGTAGCGGCAGGAGCTGACGTGTACGCGGTCGACATTTGGGAAGCCAAGGCAGCAGACAAAGGGGGGGGGGGGGGGGGGGTTACAGAAACTGCTAGCCGACGTACCGGATGACTTGGCAGCACTACTGAAGCAGTATAGTGGGATTTTCCCGGATGACCTGTCGACAGGACTGCCACCTCAGCGGCGGCACGACCACAGGATAGAGCTAGAACCGGGGGCACAGCCGACAGTACAGCGACAGTTCCGTCTGACCCAACCCGAACTGGACGAACTGAGGAAGCAGCTAGACTACCTGTTCGAGAAGGAGTTCATTCGCCCGAGTTCGTCACCCTTCGCAGCGCCGATACTGTTCACATCGAAAAAGGACGAGGGTTTTTGCATGTGCATTGATTACCGCGCAGTGAACAGGGTTACCATCAAATCCCGTTACCCCATCCCACGAGCCGACGAACTGATCGACCAACTGCGCACAGCCCAGGTTTTCTCAGAAATTGACCTTCGAGGAGGCTACCACCAGATCCGAGTCAACCCACCCGACTACCCGAAAACAGCTTTCCGAACACGCTACGGATCCTTCGAATACACCGTCATGCCTTTCGGACTGACCAACGCCCCCCCAAAATTTAAAATGACCATGAACGAAGCCTTCCGCCCGCTTTTAGATAAGTGCGTCATCGCGTACCTCGGCGACATACTGATTTACAGCCCAGACAGAGCACAACACCTACAGGACGTTGAAGAGTGTGAAAGCATCTAAGTGTGAGTTTTTACAGGACAGACTGGAGTTTTTGGGACACATTATTTCAGTTGAAGGAGTGGAAATAGACCCAAAGAAGGTTGCGACGATTCAAGAATGGCACGCGCCGACAAACTTGACCGAGTTGCAGAGCTTTTTGGGGTTCGTCAACTCCGTGCGCCGGTTCGTCCCCGACATGGCGAAGTTGACTGCTCTGTTGACTGACTTGCTGAGGAAGGGGGTTGAGTACACGTGGGGGGAGAAAGAGCAAGCTGCCTTCTCGACCCTCAAACAACTTTTGTGCTCGCCGCCCGTGCTTCACATCGCAGATCCGCACCGTCCGTTCGAGCTCGTCACCGACGCAAGTGACATCGCCATGGGAGCTGTACCGTTGCAGGACTTCGGGAACGGCCTCCAGCCAATCGCGTACGAGTCCCGCATGTCAGAATGTTATTGTTCTCTAGCCTGCAGTGGGGTACTCTATAGCGAGTACAACCCCCTAGGGTTTCCTATATGTATCCTGCTGCTTTCTAGTGAACCTCCTCTTTTGCCTAAACTTCTCTTGCCTAGCTAGGACTTACCTAGCTATGGCTCCTAACTCTACCTACTATCTTCACATGGTATCAGAGCACTCACGCTCCTGGCCTGTGGGCCCTACTGCTGCTTCCGCTGCTACTCTGTGTGTTGCACGCCCCGTGGCGTGCGACGGATTTCTCTTCCCGCCGCGCGCTCGGAGCGTGCGGCGGTTTTCTGCCCGCCGTGCGCCCCGAGGCGCGCGGCGGTTTTCTGCCCGCCGTGCGCCCCGGGGCGTGCGGCGGTTCTCTGCCCGCCGTGCGCCCCGAGGCGCGCGGCGGCCTTCTGCCCCGTCGGTCCGCGCGTCGCCCCCAGGGGGCGCTTCGACGGGCGACGGGGACCAGCCCGTCGTCCCCCGTCGCCCGTCCTGGCCAGCGCGGGCTGCGCCAGCCCCGAGCGCGGCCCGTACGGGCTGCGCCAGGCCCGCGCGCGGCCCGTACGGGCTGCGCCAGGCCCGCGCGCGGCTCGGGCCGCCTGCGCGCGGTTCGTCGGGCTGTGCCAGGCCCGTGGGCGGCCCGTTCCTCTCTGTCCCTGAGCTGCTCGCTGTCCCCCGTGCTTCTGACGGTGCCCCACCCCTACTGCTGCCCGTTCTCCTGAATTAGGGTTTGGGGGTGAGGAGTGTGGGGGTGGCGGTTGTGTGTTACTCCCCTTGCTCCTCCTCCTCCCTGGTCTCCCACTGCTGCAGCTGCCGCTGAGGGGGGTGGGTGTGTGGGAGCCTAGGGTTTAGGGTTTAAGGGGGGTGCTGTAGGAGTGGAGTTAGGGGTTCAGCAGGGGGTGTGTGTCGAGGGTGTGGGGCAGTTGGAGGAGGTTGTGTGGAGGTAGCGGTCGTGTCGCCTGCAGTGCCTGTAGTCCGTCGCCCTTGCTTCGGTAGCCAGTGAGCCTGTTGCACCAGTCGCCAGTGGGTCCGTTGTTCCTGCCGCTCGTCTATAGCCGCGGAGCCAGTTACTCCAGTAGTCCATCGCCCTTGCTTCGGTAGCCACTGAGTCAGCCGCTCCTGTGCCCGTGCCTCTGCAGCTTCAGTCGTTGCCTCCCATCTTCTCTCCTTCCACAGTTCCTCCTCCTCCTCACTTGCCCTCTGCGACTGCCCCTAGCTTTACTTGTGCATGTGAACCTGCTCTAGGACTACTTTCTCTGCTGATTATACCCCACTTTGACTATGGGGGTGTGTCAGAATGTTAT